GAGTCGCCGACGGCGTTTCCGATACAGTCGTTGGTTCCCGGACCGCTGGTTACTGTTAAGACGGCGGAGGAGTTTCTGGAGGGGCTGGCGGGCTTCGATGGGGAGATGAAGAAGGTGAAGGAGGAGGCAGAGGCGGCGGGTGGGGTGACGAGGTTTGTGGGGAGCTTGGATGTCGGGACGAAGGCAGTGAGTGTGGGGTTGAAGACGTAAGTTTGTTGGTGTTGGAGTTGAGCTTTGGCTTTTTTTTTTTTTGCGGTGCTGACGGTGTGTGCGTGGTAGCTTTGATAAGTCTTCGGCGATTGCGGGATTGAAGGGGAGTGATAACATCATCTCTTTCTACACTAAGAGATATGGCGAGAGGGCACTCATTGTGCAGGGTGCAGGGTAGGTTGCTCCTTGGCTCGATTACTCTCGGCTCGACTGGTATTTGTACTGACACCCTGATCAGTGCTGGAGCTGAAGTCACAGCCATGGGAGTCCTTGGAGACCTCATCAAGGTTTTGCAAAGGCTAAAATAAGTTCCCCAAAACCCCCGCTGGAGCGGAAGCTCCCCGCGCCCTACTACGTAGCAATGCTAGGGGGGTACGTGCCCTGACTGCCCAGCTATGTAGAAATAGCAATAAATAAATGAAAAGAGAACATTTGCGCATCATAAGCCCCCGTAACCTATTACACTACTGAATGGGAGCTTTCGGAAGTACGGTCAATGACTGGAGCTTCGAGAAACTGGACCCTCCGATCCCAAGCCCAAACCAGAAAAGGCGTCCCCCCGGTCTGGTTCATTCTGCGGCGCTAGCAGCCGACGGGTGTTTGCTGGCTTTGCAGGTTATGATGCGCCTTTATTTCCCTTCGCTACATGAGTGCGTAGCCGCATGGGTTGGGGAACAGAAATCCATCATCAATCCACCACGAGTGAGACGCCAAATATGTGAATTGTAGAGCGAAAGACTCGATGGTTTTCCTATGCTAATAGCTCTTTCCTTTTTCGTAGCAAATTCAACGCCCCCTGAAATGGTTTGGTCTGGTTCCGAATCTGCGAAAGGAGCCGGCGTCGTTCCATTGGAACGATGGCCATGCTGCTGCCCGCGCGTCCGAAGACTTACTTATCCATTGCGGCTCTGCCGTAGAAACAACAGCAAATCATACAGCAATTCTTGATTTCTTCTCACGTTTTTTCTTTCTTTGATTTCCAGGAGTGTGGATCCTCCCAACGGCCTTGACTCCTGGCTTACCCTGACTCTTCAGCAACCAACGAGAGTGAGGCCGCCAGGTGAGAGAGAAAAAGGAAAGAAGAAAAAAAGTCGCGCTCATATGTATGGTAGTTCAGGGGTTTGTCCCAAAAGAAAAAAAGAGAAGGTCGGGCAGGGTCACCCGCTCCGAAATGAGCTTCTCCCGGAAATCCCAACGAAGCTCTGTTCTGTTGCCGAGATACATCAAAAAAAAACATCGTACGATGAGAGGGCTTTTTTTCCTTCATTTGTTTGGTTTGTTGGGAGAACACTGATCGACAAGAAACATGAAGGGTTCAGGATAAGAGGGAGAAACTTAAGATTGCCAAGTCCAGGGCACGAGATAAGGTCTCAGTAGGGCTATGTATGCCGCAAGCATTGCGAATTTGGGGGGGGGTAGTCCTTGTGTTTTTTGCTCGTTTCTCGGAGCTGCATGCAGGGTGCTGCAAGCCCTAACCCATGGCGCAAGGTCTCAGTCTCTGCACAAGGTCGGAGGACTATGTGTTCGGAACTTGTAACTACATACTGATATAACACGTACTCTGAAAGCTACATGGAAACTGGCGGGGGGCGTGAAATGGGTTTATGGAGCTCTCTTGTGTTGCGAGAATCTGCTGTGGGTCGTCAGAAGTCTTTGAAAGAGATGGGGATGATGGGATCATGGGGATGATGGGATGATGAAGTCGTTATTCCTGTTAGTAGGTAGAGGACATACGCCACAGCCTACCTGTATGTACTCCTCTCACAACGGGCACCCTGTGGCCTGTCACATAGTGTAGCCTGTGTAGGTAGATTCTCCCAAGACTTGAGCTGCCTGCACCTGCCGTTGCTGTTGTGCTGTTCCTGAATGGGGTTGGTCACCGCACGTTTGGGGGGGGGACAACAAAAAAAATCGCCCATCCGCTTTTAGGCCTTTAGCCTCTCTGCCACCCCAAGAGCTACTTTATCTGCACGAGCCCTTCCGCCGTTCATTCACTTTCCTACCTTCTCCTCCTTCCTCCCTCCATCCACTCCATCCTTCCCACAAGCTCCTTCTGCACTGCGGTTCCTTCTCAATTGATCTTTTACATCACAGCCTTAGAACTTTAGATTTCAACCTTTAATCAACATCAGCAATAATGTGTACTCGTGCTCAGAATGTCGGCATCAAGGCCATGGAAATCTACTTCCCTAGCCAGGTGTGTTGGTCTCCTGCTACCACAAGACCTCCCCCCCCCCCGGAGATGAAAAAGGGGGATCTGATGGACCCAATCAAAGTTGAAATTCTTGCTAACCGTGACAATCGTCATGTAGTGCGTTGACCAAGCCGAGCTGGAAAAGTTCGACGGCGTGTCCGCTGGAAAGTACACAATCGGTCTTGGGCAGACAAAAATGTCCTTCTGCGATGACCGGGAAGGTATGATGGCCCATATTCACAATCTTTGGAGGATGTTGAATCGACGTATGGCTTACCCCGCAATATAGACATCTACTCCCTCGCTTTGACTGCCACAAAGTCGCTCCTTGAGAAGTACTCGATCGACCCCACCTCAATTGGACGTCTTGAGGTTGGTACCGAGACAATTATCGACAAGTCTAAGTCTGTAAAGTCCGTCTTGATGCAGCTCTTTGCACCATCCGGAAACACTAACATCGAGGGTGTCGATACTCTCAATGCCTGCTATGGTGGCACCAACGCTCTTTTCAACGCCATCAACTGGGTTGAGTCCTCCGCGTGGGACGGCCGCAACGCGATTGTCGTCGCCGGTGACATTGCGTTGTACAAGAAGGGCGCTGCCAGACCTACCGGTGGTGTTGGTTGTGTTGCTATGCTTATCGGTCCTGATGCCCCTCTTGTCCTCGAGCCAGGAAAGCGTGGTAGTTACATGGCGCACGCATACGACTTCTATAAGCCTGATTTCACAAGCGAGTACCCGGTTGTTGATGGCCACTTCTCCATCCGTTGCTATACCGAGGCTGTTGACGCTTGCTACAAGGCGTACAACAACCGGGAAGCAACCCTTGCCGCCGCTGCTGCAAAGCACCATGGGGCCACCAATGGCAATGGCCATGCTACTGTAAATGAAGGCATCGAGCGATTCGATTACATGCTCTTCCACGCCCCCACCTGCAAGCTTGTCTCCAAGTCGTATGCCCGCTTGCTGTACAACGACTTCTTAGCCACTCCGGAGGCTGAGCAGTTCAGCACCATCCCTGCGGACCTCCGCGAACTCGACTACGAGCAATCGCTATCTGACCGCAACATTGAGAAGACTTTCATGGGTCTCGCCAAGAAGAGGTTCCAGGAGCGTGTCCAGCCTGGTTTGACCGCGCCAACGATGTGCGGTAACATGTACACCGCCAGTGTCTACTCTGGGCTTGTTTCTCTTTTGTCAAACGTTTCTTCCGAGAATATTCAGGGCAAGAGAATTGCTCTCTTCTCCTACGGTTCAGGGTTGGCAGCTTCCCTATTCTCCCTGAGAATAAACGGAAGCACACAGGAGATCTCGGAGAAGCTTAACTTGCTGGAGAGACTCGAGCAGAGGAGAATTGTTGAGCCGCAGGTTTACGATGATGTATGCTCTCCCCTGTTTCACCCCGGTTGATCTCTATATCCTTACGGGTACTAACGTCGGTTCTTCTTTCTTAAATAGATGTGCAACCTCCGCCACAACGTTCACGGAAAGGGCAACTTCACTCCCGCCGGTTCAGCCGACACCATCACACAAGGTGCTTACTACCTGAGCAAGGTCGACGAACTCTACCGCAGGGAATACATCCGCAAGGAGTAATCGTTTTTAAATAAACAAGAAAAAGAAAGAAAGAAGAAAACAATTGTAATTCATGACCATCATAGAGTATTTTTTTCTCTTTTACAGGGGTTGGCTAGGGTAGGGGAACAGGCTAGGGATGGTGCGTGGGAAACGATACCAGTACGACATAATAATCATTTTGGAGGACTTTCATATTTCGTCTTCACTACTTGAGAAAACTTTTACTTGAGCGATCTATTTTATCAGAGCTTGTACGGTATGGGGGAATGACTCATGCTTATGTTTGGATAACCAAACGAGGGTTTTAATGAATGCTGTTCGACGTTCTGATTATTATTGTTTACGAGGGATTCGTGTGATAACGATGGTTTCCCTTTCATACAGCCACCTTTTTATCATTATATCACTGATTGTAAGCGGTTACTCCACAAAGTGCATTATATATATTATTCACACGACCCTGCATCTGTAGCATCAACTTATCCGGATCCAGCTCATAACGCATGTTGGGTCTAGTGAAACGTTGTGATGGCCATTCCTGGCCAAGTGACACCCCCTTGTAGGAGGGAAACCCCTTTCAAGTCTCTTTAGATTCATTTTGAGAATTATGAGTATCGGACCGAGTGGTTTCGATCTACGGGTTGCTTGTTACTCGTGTTAGTTCATAGGTTTCTCATACTAAGGAGATCGCGGGAAAAGCCCAGCCACTCCTATCCGGTCGTACCTACATACATCTCGAGCTCTTTTTTATTTTATTTTATTTAATTCATTAATTGCGTGCAGCCTTTCGGCTATGGCAATTACATCTCTAGCTCAACATGCTGGGGCATGGCACTTCGATCAGCTTCCTACAGATCAGATTGCTACATAGCCGATTCCAACATCTCCGATACTAAACTTCGTCGTCCACGGCGGTTTTTTTGGCGCGGGGGATGTGGGTGGGTCATGATACATCACTCGCTTAGCTTGTGCAATTTAATATTAGTTTATGTAATTTATATGGCGCAGTAGAAAGCATGGTTCCATGGCTCAGTTGGTTAGCGCGTGGTGCTAATATTGAAACAAATGTTAACGCCAAGGTCGAGGGTTCGACCCCCTCTGGAACCACACAAAACACTTTTTTCGGCTTCTGTCTACTTTTCTTTTTCTTTTTCTTCTCCTGCATAATTCATTATATGCATGCAGATCCCGCCCCCAAACTGTTTTGTTATCACACTCCACGCAGACACAGTCGAAGTAAACACAGGCTGGGGACGGGATTACCTACAACTGATTACTACCCACTCAATCGTTGGAGTTCAATAGAAACACTACAATCATCGCCAATACCGGATCGTTACTAATACAAAAAATCAATTCCTACAATTGATTACTATCAAAAACAAAGCCCAATCATTAAAATTCAATAAAAAACATAGGTACCACAATCACCACCAATATAATACCAAAAAGCAATTCCAAAAATAGAAAAAGAAAATTACCTTCAACGTAGCTAACCAAAACCTTTAATATCCACATTGCATTCTCGGTATAGCTATATGATTATTAGATACCGAGAGGCTACTGCTTGTTCTTTTTTTATACTCGTATATAAGCAAGCCCCAGAAAAACTTGGGGCCGAACTCTCCCATGACTACTATTAATCCATCTACGCCCTAAGTTGGACATGGTGGTCGTTGTGACTACATGTATGCGAGTGAGTCATAGGTAATCACTCGAACACCGGTTGGATAGCTTGAGGGTTTGTTTTATAAATAGGGTTTGTGGGTTGTATATGAGAGCTTGAATGAATTTGATGTCCTACGAGCTTTTGTATTATCTATGCTCTCCGATATGCCAGGTGGTAAGGTAGGCCAGTGACAGAGAAGTAGGTTTACATGTATATAGCAGAGTCTAGCGCCGAAACGAGTATATGGAATCTAAAGACTAGAAACCTCCGTGGAGCGTAATTTCCTCTCCGTACTCTATAGGAAGGGCTATATATATATAGGTATATCACTTGACCCAGCAGCCAGCTTTCCGGTGGAATACTAAAGAGACCTCGTATCGATAGAGTAGCGGGTATAGTAAAGCTATATAAAAATTAGGCGCATCAGATGCCGTTGTAAAATGGGGGGTGGTATGGATATATCATACCTGGCCTGACATGAATTCCCGTCAAAACCCTCAATAACAATGCTCCATCAAGTAAACAGAAGACAGAAAATAAAATAAAATTTCCTCTATGAAAGAAAGTAATGAAATAAAACGAGTAATGTTCATTGGCTCAAGCACACCACACGTACATACGAAACACCTGCACACATCTCTTCACATCCCTTACAATTTTACAGCAAAGGTTTACTGCGACCCTTCTGAAGCCAGTCGATTTCCTCTACCTGCGTTTCCCCTCCGCGTACTTTAATGGAGTGCTGTCCGCCCGCTCTCATCCTTGGCCTCGATGTCCGCACCTCGATCAAGCAGCAGTCCGACGGTCGCTTCATCCCCGTCTAATGCCGCGCAGTGGAGTGCTGTCCGCCCGCTCTCATCCTTGGCCTCGATGTCCGCACCTCGATCAAGCAGCAGTCCGACGGTCGCTTCATGCCCGTCTGATGCCGCGTTGTGGAGTGCTGTCCGCCCGCTCTCATCCTTGGCCTCGATGTCCACACCCCGATCAAGCAGCAGTCCGACGGTCGCTTCATGCCCGCCTGATGCCGCGCTGTGGAGTGCTGTCCACCCGTACCTACACTTGGCCTCGATGTCCGCACCCCGATCAAGCAGCAGTCCGGCGGTCGCTTCATGCCCGCTTGATGCCGCGTAGTAGAGTGCTGTCCGCCCGTCCTCCTCCTCCTTGGCCTCGATGTCCGCACCTCGATCAAGCAGCAGTCCGACGGTCGCTTCATCCCCGTCTAATGCCGCGCAGTGGAGTGCTGTCCACCCGCTCTCATCCTTGGCCTCGATGTCCGCACCCCAATCAAGCAGCAGTCCGACGATCGCTTCATGCCCGCCTGATGCCGCGTTGTGGAGTGCTGTCCACCCGTCCTCCTCCTTGGCCTCGATGTCCGCACCCCGATCAAGCAGCAGTCCGACGATCGCTTCATGCCCGTCTAATGCAGCGTAGTGGAGTGCTGTCCGCCCGCTCTCATTCTTGGCCTCGATGTCCGCACCCCGATCAAGCAGCAGTCCGACGATCGCTTCATGCCCGTCTGATGCCGCGTTGTGGAGTGCTGTGCCTCCACTATTGTCTCTGGCATTAATTTTTGCGCCCCGATCAAGCAGTAGATTCACTATGTCTGCCCCTATTTTTACCGCGAAGTGCTGCGGCAGGTTGCCATTGTGATCTGGAATACCAGAGGCACTTACTCCGTTATCGACCAGCAGCCTAACAACGTCCCCGTGTCCTCCAGATGCCGCTAGCCTCACGGCGATTGGAGAATCATACCCCTCCATCAATAGTCTCTGAACTAGTAGAGCGTGGCCAATTCGAGACGCACCTTCTAGAGGAGTCCAAACTTTACTGTAGAAGCTTGAGAATGGCCAACCACGTGGCAGTCCCTCCGCCCCGTCTCTGTCGGAAAAAATAGGATAGCGACGGTAAGTTTTTGTCTTTTTTCCGAGATAGTAGGTAGCGAGAACCCAAAAATTAAGGCATCCTGAACGTTTGAGAAATTCAAGAACAACGCTTTGAGTTGACTCCTCTTCGCAAGATTTAAGGTGCGAAGACATGAAGAGTGCGCTATATGCTAGGAAGGGATACGGTTTAAGCCGAGCCTCCCATAGATCCACCCTATTCACAAACTCATGCGGCATAAACTCGGAAAAAATACTAAAAGAGTTGTACGTTGTGCAAGCAATAGCGACATTGAGAATTGCGTCTTTTAGTAAGACGGGATCTCTCATGAGATAATCGTGAACTGTTAGGTGGGACAGCCTGATGGTGCCGCTATTCTCATCGATGCTTACTAGGCCAAAACACACGTCGAGCATTGTTTTGATGTCTGGTAGGTCTGAATCATCTAGTTCGTATCGCCCAGGTTCAATAGAAACCGCAGTCTGGATCTCCTTAATGGTAAGTACCCGCTTTGTATGTACAAGCCACGAAAGGATGCGAATTGCTAATTCTGCGCATTTCTTCGGCTGATTTAGAATGGCTTCCTTGACACGGTCATAAGTAGGGTCTAGTAGGTTCTCCCCAACAATATGATCCTTCAAGGTCTCGAGTGCGGTGAAAATCTGTTTGACTGTGGTCTGTTGGCAAAGGTAGTCAAGATGGAACCGCACTGCCAAGAACCTATGCAAGTGGTGATGGTTTAGAATACATATGTATATATATTTCTACTGTGAGGGTGGAGAGATTTGGGGCAAAACACATACATCCCATTAGCACATTTGGTCAACTGCGAGACTATACGATCCCCAAATTTCCCATCATGAACTAGTCGTTTCGCCCTTGCATTCTTCTCAATCCTCTCTTCTATATAACTTTTTATATCGTCATTTTTCGCCGAAAGTTCAATCTTGGCTACCACTTTGAACGATTCTTGAATGTCCTCTGGGTGATGACGACTGGTGATGAACAAACCGGCCCCCGCACCCGCCATCTCATGAAACAGTGGAAGGAGTTTCCCCCGCTGGGAATGTTCGTCACACTCGTCCAGGGCATCGAAGACTATAAAAACTTTACCAAAAAACTTGAAAGTTGCAAAAAAGACTTCGACTAGCTGGGCTAAAGTGGGCCGTTTATTTTCTTCTTCCAGCTTGTATAATTCCGAAATTTGTTTGGGCAAGTGTAGCAACTGGCTAGCGAGTTGTTTTAAAAGACTAGAAATTACGATATCCGGACTTTGCTGCTCCTTTTCTTTGTAGTTGAAATAGAAATAAGCTACTCCGTAGCCTTTCTGCTGTGTCTGAGACAGGAGGTGATCTACCACGGCATAGCTAGTAGATACCACGCATTTAGACCTTTCCTTTCGTAGGCAGAAGGGGGTTATCAAACCTCAAAAATGTTTTCCCAGCTCCAGCTATTGAGCTACTCGTTAAAAATTTCTTGTATATAAAGGGTTCAATTGAAGTTTTGTAATACTTACGAATTCCGTAACCCCAAAGAAGTCTAGAACCCTGTTCCCCTTTGACTAATTTTTGAAAACTTTGAGATTTTAAAAGCCAACCGCCGGTGTCTTTTTTCCTTACGCTTCCGATCTGGGTATGTGTTCTTTCGAAGTCTCCGGAGTACAGCCAATTAAGAGCTTTTTTGCGGGTTTCTCCTACGTTTTTTGTAGATGTATAAGCATAGTCATTCATTCAAACACTACTCATATATCCCTCGTGGATTATATCCAATGGCAACACAAAACTTGCCGGTCAAGAGTGATGTGACCGGATCGATTAGTGGCAGTAACTAGAAAAGATTCGCATACCTGCACGAGCGGAGTCGTCCGCCTGTCTCAAAGAGCTCTGGGCTACCAAGTTGGCGCGAAGTTGCGAACTTATTCCCGGGGACATCAGCAAGGGGTTTCAGCAAGAGGAGAGTAATGTTCATGCCTACATATTGTCTAAACTCAGTGCCAAAAGAAAAGAGGTTTTGTTCCTCTCTATCCTGCTTATTATCTCAGTGACCTCTTTCTCTTTGAGAGGCCACATGAGTGAGGTTAACCCCATTTTCTTTTTAAACCATGCCCTTTTCGTTTTTTTAGGCTTCAGTTTTGACTCTAGATTCTCGAGCTCTCGCATACATGTGTCAAGTGGCTTATCTAATGCTTGTAGTGCATCAGACGTTGCTGGGTCTGCTTTAACATAACTGTCAATAAGTCCGAGGAACTTCCCAAGAGAAGTAAGCTCTTCGAGGAAACTTTCGATGTCTTGCTGCGCTTGACCAACTTTGCTAATATAACCGTAGCACAGAAAAGAGACTTTTCCAGTAAGCTGAATAACGGCGATGAGGCTTGCCGCAATGCTTAACCCTTCCATGATGTTTAAACGTGACGATGACGGCGACAATCGAGTGTAGGCCGACAATACCAGTAGTGAATGGAGACAACATATAGGCTTATTAATTGCGGGGTTTCACAGCTGAACAGCACACGTGCACGTGACCATAATATGTACTCTACCAATTACCTTTGTTTAAA